ATTACAGTTAAAATTAAATTTAATTGTTAAAAAAGAAAATTAAGTTAAACATTGACAAAAATACGAATGTATCAAAAACCATGTCCACGATTTAAAGGCAATAAAAATAAAATAAAATATTTAAACAAATAATATTACAAACATCACGGACAGTATTGGACCACATTCATTAATGTTAATCGAAAATTAATGAAAAAAACCAGGAATAGTCTGGACACTTGCTCCTTAGCGTTTGCTAGAAGAAAAAGGAAACACGTGCTCTCCACACATAAACAAAAACAAGTTAATTTAAAATAAAAAAAATGAAATATAATAATTAATAAAATATAGCTCATCACTAGAGGTCGGATTTATATTCTCTTAAAATCCTTAAAATATGATGTTTTTATGTCACATAAAATAGGCAATATATTCTCTTAATATTCTTTTAAAATACCAAATATATGATGTTTTATGTCCTTAAGTAAGCAAAATATTCTTTGAATATTAAAAAAAAATTCAATTTCAATTTATTTTTTATTAATTTGGTTTTAAATATATTTAATTTAATTAATTTTACAATAACAATTAATTACTATATATTGTTCAATGTGTTCCGGTGTCATTTTAGTACGCCGGTTTGTAAGAATATTTTTGTAGATGCTGAAAGATCGTTCGACATCAACCGATGTTACTGGAGAATATTGCAAGTCGGCTACCATAATCGGTGAATAATTTTCCGGAAGTTGTACTGTGTTATTTCCACTAAGAACTTGTCCAATATTTTTTAAAAATTTGTATCCTTTGTTTTTTTGTTGAAGTTGCAATATTTTTGTTTTTACTACTTCTCCTTTTTCTCCTGGTATCTGTTCAAGTTGTGTAAAAGTGTTTTCAATAATATTTATTATATCAACCAAGGGAGTATTTGATTTTTCCAAACTTTTGATAGTTGTAACAATTTGAAGAAAATTAGTTTTAATAAAAATCAAATCATTTTTTACAGACTGTAGGTGTAATATATTTTTGCATTTTTGAATACTGACTGACGACTTTTCTTCACTTAATTTGTCTATAACCTTTTTCAAACACTCAAAATTATCGCAATTAAATACTGCGGCTTCCAGCCAAGTTCCCCATCTAGTTAAAACGGGTTCTGGGGGTAATGGCACATTGGGCAATATTTCTTTGTACACCTGGACATGATATGGCGCTTTTAAAAATACTTTTTTTAGATTACTGATTAATTTATTAACATTTGGAAACATTTCTCTGACCTTCTCTGCAACCCTGTTCATCATATGAGCTACACACGTAACGTGAATTAAATTTGGGTAGAAAACTTTTAGTGTATCACCGGTTTTTGTCATGTATGGAGCTGCATCCGATAACATTACCAACACTTTTTCGTCATTTCCACCCAACGGCCATAATAATTTTAGTCCATCATTGATAAACCGAGCAACAGTGGAATGATTAGTTTTTTCCAAAACTTTGCATGTCAGGAGAAATGGGCGAGTCGGAGTATTTGATTTTAATATTCCCACCAGTAAATTTGCAACGTAACGACCGTTTGTATCTGTAGTTTCATCTACAGCAAACCAAATATTATTTTCACCAATTTCAGTTTTAATTTTCGTTAAAGTATTATGGTAGCATGGCTCGAGATAATTTTTACGTAACGCACTTTCATCTGGTATATGTTTGTCAGTGTATTTCTCTAAAAATGTACGTAATTGAGGAACTTGCATTTTATACCAAGGAATATTAGCTGCTACTAAGGCTAGACACAAGTGTTTGTTAAAATCATTTAAGTTGTTTTCATTGAGAGTAGATTCTGATAAAAATAATTGTTTTGATGAAGTATTTAATTTACGTTTTAAACCATTTTTATGGACAGCCGTATGTACATGTTGTGTTACCTGTGATTTTTTTGCGCAAGGAATATTTCTGTCACAAACTTGACAAAAAATTGTTGCACCATTTGTCGTGAAAATCATTTGTTGGTTATTGTACGACGAAATCCACTGAGCAAATAAACTTTTTAAACTGCTTGAAGTTTTTGGCATATTTGTATGTTATAGACTATAAAATACAATTACTATAACTTAAGTAATATGAGACGAGTGGAAAGACAATATATAAGCAATAATATATCGCACGACTAGTAGACGACGAATAGTCGTGACAGCTTACGAAATAAACGATGTGCTATCGCAATCGATAAGGAATACCTGGAGATTAATTTTTATTAAAACCCAGAAACCCAGAAATAAACCATTTAGTGAACATTGTATTTATTAAAGTGCTGATATACGTCAAATATGTTCATTATATGCCGATATTACAAAAATATTCTCAAATATTCTCTAATGTGTTAAATATTCTCTAACCCCTAAAATATGCTTTTTTATGCAAAATAAATTTTGTCTTGTGAATTCTGTGTTTCATGAATCGTAAAGATTTCTCACTCCCATTTAACTGCATAGACTAGAAACAAATATGTAAAATCATAAAAATCCGACCTCTAATTATTAGTAATTGAATACAATCACAAAAAAATAATTTTTCTTAAACAAAATTAAACAACAGACGAATTTAAATTTGATCATAAACATCTGTGTAACATTATTAAGTATCATAACTTAATTGTACTATCTTGTGTGTAATATTATTTTATTACTTATAATATTAACATATAATATGAAGTTATTATTTGTATATGTATGTCACTGATTATTATTATTCAAGATCACCAAAACAGGACTCTCTTATTTAAAATACAAAATAACCCTTTAATTATGCGATAAAAGTCTTGTAGAGATTATTAAGTAACGCCTATTGTGAGCTTTTCTTATTGGGTAGCTAGTCTTTGAGCTTAATGTCTTTGCTTTAACGAGCATCTCGCCGGCGGGCAGCGCAAAGAAACTTACAAATATATTTTTAGTGTTCAATTTTTGTCTTGGTGATTATTGTGCCCCATCCTTTCAAGGCGCTAGCGCCGGTACACATTGGTCCACCACATTTCCGCCTTGATACATTTTTTACATAGGTATAAATATTTCTGAATTTTATTTTGGCCTTTAGGAAAATTTAAGAAATATTGGTGTCGATCTCACAATAAAATATACTCTCTAAAAAAAATACTTATTCAACAGACGTAAAAAAATCAATAAATAAAAAAAATTAAAATTATATTTATAATAAAATATAGAGTGATTAGAATCTTTTACAAGTAAGATCAGTCGTAGACTTTATGTAATTAAATCATATTATTTAAAATTTTGAATCGTTCTTGTAAGTAATTATATGGACTATATGACGTATAGTGTAAATCGTATACGTAGTGCGTTTAACACCAAAATCAACTTTGGATTACTTGAAATATTATTGCATTACACAGGACATAAAGTAAGTACAATTTAACCTATGATTTTGAATCTCCAACAATCTATTGCGTAATAAACCATTATTAAAAATTAAATAGGAGACTTAATAATTAATAAGATATACAATTAATGAAAAAATTATATATTAAATATTAAAGACATTTAATTTAATAAAAAAATCATATAATTAATTATTTATTAAATTTTATAATTTTTTTTTTTTTTAATTCTAATTTTATATCATTCTTTTTATTTTTGGTTTATTACATGTGATTAGAATACACTTAAAAAATAAATTAAAATTATAACAAACATAAAATTAAGAAAAACTATGTTCATAATGTACAATCTATGTATAAGCACAAGTATAAGACAAGAGCAAGAGTAATCGTTGCGATGATGGAAAAGGTCAACTGCGGGACATTCGTATTATGTGGCTCGGTGGCCGTGAATTCCAAAAGTGATTATGTGTGCAGTCAGTCCTCCTGATATGTTGTATGTCACTATGTCAATTATATATATATATATATATATATGTCTAATAAACGGTACAGTGATAATATGGGAGATATGGGCACATGCAAATGTGATTGTATCAGTAGTTATTACTTTTATGACAAACGTATACAAAAGTTGAAGGTCTTGATGCAATACTTAAAAAAAATTGTTTGTAATTTATAAATAAATTTACTGAAAAACAAGGAATTTTCATTTCAAAAAAAAAGTATGTCGCTTAAAAAGAGTATATAAATAGTACTTATCATAAAAAAATTGTATTGATCCATACATTTTTCAAAAAGTTATAGTATCATAAAATAAAAAATATAAAATCAAGAATTTTTATCGCAAATTACCATATTTTTGAATACGGCATCCATTTACACCATGAAGACAAATCCAAAAATAAAATTTTATTTTTCAAATGAAAATATATTACTTAAGCTTTAATTTACGGTATATATAAAAGTGTAAGTATAATCGGAACATTTTCAAAATTTAATTTGAAAGAGTTAATTTATTAAGAAAATGTTGCCATTTTGAAACCCCTCCTGTCAGCAAATAAAGGGTCACATTTTTACAAAAAATATACCAAATGATAAATATCTAAGGTATTTATAAAAAAAAAAGTAAATAAGTTGATTTATTCATTATTAAAATATTATGGCAGTTTTAAGAAAAAAAAATTTCAACATTTAAATTTTGTAACTTTTGGGGAATTTAGCCCATTTACGGGGATATATAGATTTTCTTTAAATTGTTGAGAGTAATATCTTCAATTAGACACGTTTTGTGAATTTTTAACGTACCGTTGCAAAAAATCGTTGTATTGAGAGCTAAAAATAATTGTGTCAAAAAAAAAGTTTCTCTTTTAATTTTAATGTATTTTTTTTCTAAAGAATTAACAATAAGAAATAAAAAATCCATTGAGTTATATAAAAAATATAATTTACAAAATATTAAACATAAAACATTAATTACAGCTATAAATCAAAATTTTTTTCGTCAACAATATTAAAATAGTTTTTTTGTAAAATAACATGATATAGAATTTGTATACAAATAAAAAATTTACGACAATTATATAAAGAACACATTTACTAATTTTTTCAAAACATAAATTAAGATCAAGAAGAATTCAATTTTCAGTCTCTTGAAATTGAATAGAAACTGAATTTTTTGGTGCTAAATTTGTTTAATTTATTTATGATAAAAATTTGTATTCAATAAAATAAAACTGTTCTTCATCACAATAATTAACTTTGCAATTATCAAGAAAATAACAAACATTTTTTTTTTAAGTGAAATTTAGTTTTAAACTGTGATTTGTCAAACTAATTTTTCTTGGCCCAAATTTCTTTATAAAAACCAAAAAAATTGCTTTATCCCATTCACTCTCTTTGCAATTATTAAGCATATAACAAACATCCTTTTGCAATATAAGATTTTGATTTTTACTTTGCTTGGTCAAACAAATTTTTCTAGGCAAAATTTGCCGTTTAGAAACCAAAAACTTTTCTTCGTCCCAGTCATCCCCTTTGCAATTATTAAGCACAAAATAAGCATTCTTTTTTAAAGTTAAATTTAGATTTTCTCTGTACTTTGTTACGCCAATTTTTTTAGTGACATATATATTTTTAGCATAACCTTTTGTTTGTTCTTTAACATTACAAACCAGATCATTTGTTACAATATAATTAGATGCACAAAAATCTAATAAAATAAAAAATCTATCAAAATACAGAATTTTAATGTAATTTAAAAAAAAATCTTATTTTATTTAAAATATTATTTTTAATAGTTTTTTATTTAATGTATAAATATTTATTACGCGTCAAAAGTCTGTTGAAAAAAATTAATATTTTTATATGTATTATATATTTTATATAAAAATGTTCATGTACCAAAAATACCATCAAATTTTTGTGGTTTTTAAAACTAAAAATAATGTTAATTTTTATTCCTATAAAGCAATAAAGAGTCTCATTATTTTAAAATTAATTAAACAAAATTAAGCCTTGTAAAAATTATACAAATATATAATCAAATATTGATTGCCAAATTAATTCTATATACCTTTATTGCAAATAAAGTGTTTAACTTTTAGTTATATGATGTAATAAGTATTACGTTCTATATAATTTTTGGTTAAATTTATATAAAAAACCCAAATGTAATTGTTTTTGATACAATGACATTATTACTCACCATAAAAAGTGTTTCCATTCATTTTGGCTTTTAGTTCTATATCCTTCAACCAATAATATACTTTGCTTTCATCGTGTACGCTGTATCCCAAACCATAAGCCCTTTAAAATGAACATATTGCATAAGTAAAAATATATTATAATATTTTAAAAATATTTCATATATATCTTATTATAACCAAGTTAAATTTAGGAAATACTGAATATTTTTAAAGATGATTTATCTGTAAAATATTCAATTATTATCTGAATTATGATTTTTTTATTAATCTTCACGTTTTTCTTAGTTATTGTCAATACTATTTAAAATTTATTTATTCATTTTATTGGTATAGGAATAAAATGATTCTTAAATAAATGTATGAATTCTAAAAATGCGAGTATTAGAAAAATTACCATATATCTACTTTTTTCTTAAACGTTTTATCTTTAAAAATAAATTACTTATTTTAAAGATAATACTAAAATAATTACAATCTTTTATCCTCCCAACCTGATGCCGTCACAGAATTTTTAAGATTGGATTCGCTTGTAATCGGATAAACTGATCATCTGACCGTTGACTATTGTTAGATGATTCAGATTTATTGGGAGTGGACGAATGTTTCAGGTTGATAACATTTCTTGAACAAGAATCTCTATGTTCTTTTATATTAGAGTCCAGACAATCTTGGAAATTTATTTCCTGGAAGTATTTTAAATTATTCATTGTTGTCAATACAAAAGAATTAGACGATTTACACAGATTTTTGATAAGTTTTATTTAAGTTTTTTGTTTAATCGGATAAAATGTAACGTATTCACTTTAAGAGATGCAACATAAAACGAAAACTAAAATCTGTTTAAAAATTAAAAAACATTATTGGGAATCGAATAGATTGATTACTAAGCACAATTTAAATAACAATAAATGAAACCAGAGATAAAAAGCGCTATTCTTTTTATTTATTTTCGTCAATTAATTTAACAGTAATGATTATTGAATTAATGTTTTAAAATATTTTGAGGATATTTATTTTATAAAAATGATATAAAATAATAATAATATTAGTTATTGTATAGAGTCATGTGTTTCAATATATCAAAAAGGATATTTTTTTTCATATTTAAGTATATTACATATACTTTACTTTTTGATATGTATTTATATATTTAAGTCGAAAAAGTTAATTTTTTGTAAAAAAATTTTCATTTTGTATTCCTTTCTAAAGGCAAGTAAAGAATCAGATTTCTAAATAAAATATACAAAATGATAGGTAAATACGTCTATTATTTTGATTTGTTCATTTTTAAAAAAATTATGGCAATGTTTAGTAAAAGAAATGATAAAAATTCGAAAATTAGCAATATTTAAATTTGTAATGTTTTTGAAGATTTCTCAATTAATATTAATTTAAAATAAATTTACGAGGAACGAAGAAAATTTTTCAATTTTTGAGGGTATGTCTTCGACTAGATACGATTTATGAACATTTGATGTATTGTTGAAAGAAATCGGTTCCATAAAAGCTGAGGAAAAATGTTAACAGACACACAAAAAGAAACACGTCATAGTAATATTAATACCTACACAGCTTCGTAACGAAGCTAAAAAAAAAATTATTAAACATTAGTTTACTTAATTATTTCTATTGAATTAAAAAGAAATATTGGATAATCTTTTTGAATCTTATTTTAAAAAAATTCTTTACTACTTTAATTTCTATTAATTTAAATATTGTTTGGTTCAAATAATTTAATTAGACCGTTGTCAATATCAATATGATGATATTTACTAATTAATAATATTATTTTACAACTACCCTGAAATTTTCATGAATCAATAGTAATCCGATTATTATCAAACTTCTTCGGTGTAAGTATAATAACAATCGATAAATTAATAATAGATTTAAAAATTATTTATGTTCATTAATCATGTTATTATATAAAATGATAATTTTATGTTTTACAGTTCTAGAATTCATTTTTTTATGCTATACAAGTTGTTATAAGGTAAATAGAACATATTATTTTAAAATCATAACAAATTTAATCTTATTTGTAGAGTAATAAATTACAAAGTTCATAACGATGTTGACACTTCTGTGCCATTGATTTACCTTTGACTTTGACGAATAATGAAAACTCTCCTCTTGTGTCCACTGAAAATGTGAGTGCCAATTTATGTTTACAATTTCTCCGAAACATTTTATGGTTAATTCATATAAAATATACATTTTAATTGTATAAATATAATCTATTTCAAAAAGCTGTTATATATTTTTGTGTGTCAGGACAATGGCACAATAAAGCAATGTCAGTTAACTCAGGTAAAAAAAGATGAAAGACGGTTCATGATGAAAGATATGCCAAAGTTTCACTTGAATGTAAACTATGTATATCGTCTAAGAGTGTTGTACACTGCTAAAAACTATATCTTTTTGGCGAAAGTGAACGAAGAAAATTCTATTAGGGCACTTGAAAGACGCATTAATGTTTTTTACAGTTACTCTAAGGAAAATACTTACACCCCACAATTGGATGAATTATGCGTTATTAAATATAGTAATAACCTTTGAAGTTATTAACTTAATTAACTTGTAAAAGTAATTAATAGTTAAGTATATTGGACGAGATTTCAAATGTTTAACTTAAACAAAATTACTCAAGTCATCAGATTCATTTAATAATTAAGTAATTAATTAGTTATATCTTTAAAATACTCAATAAATGAATAACGACTCTGAAAATATGTGAATCTTAATATAAAATTTATCAACAAACTTTGCTAATTACTTTTTTCTAAAATTTAGACGATGGTATTTGGTACAGAGTCATCTGTAAGGCCATTAATGAAGATGTTAATGGAAAAATGACTTTTTTATATCATTGCTAGATTGGAGTGATTTAATTTCTGTAAATGTTAATAACATACGAAAAATACAGCCATTTTTTATTCAACACGCACCATTAGTAGTAAAATGCGTTCTTAGAGGTAACTATTTATCATGACAACATGAGGTTGTTAATTTAACATTTAAAGCGATAATTCAATAAAATACAATTAATCTTTTATTTTTTGATTTGAAACTTTCACGTTTTTCGAAGAAAATCTTATGGAAACTGTCTAACAAAGTTTTTAATTGCAATATAGTCTTAATATTTGGACCGACTTATTATGAAATTAAGCCAGAGCAGATATCTAGCTTATTGGAAAATTAAAAATTAATTTTAGTGTCATCAAGTTGGCAATTTAAATGAAAATATTTAACTTGCTAATCTGTTCTTTATTACATATTTAGTAATATACAATTCATTCCAAATCTTTTTATAACAATCCATAAAAGATGTTTATTTAACATTTAAAGCGATAATTCAAAAAATGCAATTAATCTTTTTTTTAGACTTAAAACTTTCACATTTTTCGAAAAAGAAAAAAAGAATTAAATAAACAAGTAAATATTTGCAAGTTTCACTTACCGATAAAAATTTATAAAATAGTAATGACAGACGAATCAAAAGTTCAACAATGATCAATTTAATGCAATCTATATAGGAAATTTTAAAATTCATCATTAGTACAAATGATTATGCTCTAAATTTGGCATTAGCTCTACGCATTCTATTAACAATGTCTGTTACAGTCAATAGTGACGAAAAAAGTTTTTCAAAAAATATTTACTTTGATTAACAATTACGAATGACCGTCTTAGAGGCCAAAATTTAAACATGGATGTAATAGTGAAGATATTGATAAGTGATAAAGCAAATCAGGGTTGTTACGTTTTACACCACACTGCTTGTTTAAAACACAAAAAACGTCAAAATGTATATTGGTCTAATGGGACGTTTTAAATTGTTTATTTATATTTTAAACATTTAAAAAAAAAAAAATTATTTTTCAACAATCCTAATAAAAGTACACCTTTAACTAAATTGAAATAATTGCAACTTTTAGTTATATTTTTGAAGCTATAACTATTTAGTAAACGATTACAAAGAAAATTATGTTTATAGTGATAAATTATGTTTTTTGTTACATTTTTTACTTTCTCAAATAACTTTTCCCAGGTAACTTAGTCGAGTACTTTGTTAAATGTAATATATTTAAAAATAGGAGCATGTATGAATTTTTTCTAGTATTGGTAAATCTTCTATATTATTTTATTAACACACTTATATTAATTTCACGTGTATGTTTGTTGTTTGTTCTAAGTTTGTTTATTGTATGTTTGTAACTATCCACGCGCCACTTGTTATTATTCTCTCGTATCCCGTCGTCTATGACGTTGAGACTAGACTGTTGTAACGCATTCACCTCACCCTGCTCACCACACGACGGCAACACTATTAAAAAAAGTTAAGTACAAAGAAAATTTGTTTCATAATTAAATATATTCTGCTAGTTTTTTGCTATATGGTGCTTCTAATACAGCAATATATAGGTTACCTAGTTCTCTATTAGTTACATATTTCCAAGTTTATCCACAACAAAACATTTATTTAAATGCATTTTAACCGCTTAAGATTTCAAATTACATTGATTGATTTTGTTTAAATAAGTTATCAAATAGAAGTGTACCGATAATTATAGTTCAAAATATAAATAATAAAATTTTTAAGTTATCAGTTTGCTTAATTTTAACAAATTGTTTTTTTAACTCTGCATATATTACATAATATTAAAAGCTATTTTCTGAAACGCTTTTATTAAATTATTTACTTATAAAAAATAAAAGACGTTTTGAACAACACATTTTTTAAAATTTGTCTGTCGTTTTAAATAAACCTATAATTTTAGTAAATAAATAAACCTATTATTTTAATAATTCGTTTCAGTTATAAATAAGTCGCGTTTACTGCAAATAATTGTTCTGATTTTATAGATAAAAATTTTGCGAAGTTGTTCTTCACCAGTCGAAATGTATTTCAAATTGATATTCTTATTTTTACTTTATTTATACGCTGATCAGTTTTTGCCTCAAGTTTCAAGTTTATCAGATTCAAATCATATTCAATGTTGTTTTCTTATTAAAGCTGGAATCGGCATGCAACATGTCTATAAAATATACAAAAGACCAAATGAATTTCAAAAAAATACAGATATTGCGAGAACATTTAGAGATTTAATTACACAAATGTTAGAGGCAGTAATAAAAATCCCTATACACCGCTTTTCTTTGCCTATTATGTGGATATTATTCTTTTACGGAAGACAAACTTATTTAATGACAATAAATGCTTTTGGGACACAATTGATTCAGCAACGAGTTTTTCAATATTTGCATGAAAGTATCTCAAGTATGGTTCGAAATTTATACCAATCTAACCATTGTCATTTGTCGGAAGTCGGAAGTCGGAAGGAATTTAACTATTGGGAACACAAACATTTAGATGAAAATATGTTGTTAACGATCGAAACAAAATTACAAAATGACTATTTGGCCCCGTACTTAAGTAGTATTCCAGTCACTTGGAACATTAACTATATGGACAACAATTTAAACTTCAATAGAGTCTTACAAGATGAACAATTTTTTGAAAATCTAATGTATCCATTTCAAGAAATAGTACAATCTCCCAACTGGAATTCGTTTAAAGACAATATACAACAGAGTTGTTTGAAAGTATTTTCTTCTAATTTATCATCGGAAATTACTATTGTAGCGTCAATCTATGTAAGTTTAATGGAACTCTTAAAAGTGATAATGGCCCTAATAACATGGAAACATATGCATTATTTAGATGACTTATGTAAAAAAAGTGATTATAATATTAAAAAACAAACTATATACTATTCCAATTTGATAAAAACAGAATTAACACTCTGTATCGAGTTTTTAGGATTAGAAGTTGATACACAAGCCAAACAAATCATAAACACATTAGATAGCCGCCAAATTGCAAATTATAGTATCAGACAAAATAGAAAATTATATTTAGAAAATATATTAATTTGGCTTTCTACATCAGATCTAATGAGTATTTCATTTAAACCATCTGAAAATCTCATTACCATAGACAATAATGAAAAGTCTATTGACAGATTAACATATATCATTCACAAGAATAATTTTAAATTTTATCAAGTAGGTAAACATTACATGCTTACTGAAACCATTATGAGTACGAAATTTTTACATCAATTATTAGAAAAATATCTAAAAGGAATCAATTTTAAACTGTTCAGATCATTAATAAAAGTTATTGTGTCTAAAGATATGGAACAACTTAAAAAATTAGAATCGTCATTTGTAATTTAAAAAAGTAACGAAGTATTAAAAGTTTCACTGTAACAACCGTAATTATTTTACAGCAATAAATTTAAAATGAGCGAAATAAAATGAATTATTTCATTCAATATTCATTTTTTTTTATATCTGATTTAGTGAACTATTGCTATAAAATATAATACTGATATTTATTTAAAAATATTAAAATAGTCTCATTTTTTGTCATGAATATTTTTAGAACTTAAATACACGTATAGAGAGTGAAACAAATCTAATTGACAACTATTATAACTTTTGATAAAATAATTATTGCGTTTTTTTTTTTTAATTTTTCTTTTTTTTTCAGTATTTTACAATAAATTACTTTTAGGGATTTTTCTAACGAATAAGAACCAAACCAAACCCAACCCAACATGTCTAAGAATTCAAAATATTAAAAATACTTATGATAACAAAATATTTATAGTATCAAAATATCAGTTATATTTGTTATATCCTGTATTTAATAGTTATCATTTATAAAAAAAATTGCTGTAAACTATGCTTTTTATGTGCACCATAGAATAATAAATACTAAAATTTTAAATAAATACAAAGATAACATTTTTTGTATAAATGTTTAATGCAATTAATTATTTACTTTTTTTAAATGGTAATATGAACAATTTAACAATGATAAATAAATGTTTACATATAAAATAAATAGACATAGTTAAAAACAATCCATGGTGAGGAACAATTAATCTATAAAATAATTTTAAGCAATTATGTAAGTTCAGCTTTTTTTTGTTACACAAATTTTACATATTACATTTACGACAAAAGCTAATTACATTTAATTTTCTTACACTAGTTATTAAAATAAAATAACTCACATAAATATCCAACATAATTTAATTGAGAAGATAAATATTTACTTATAGTTATTGTACAATTAAACAAAAGGCGATTGTGTTCATGAAAAAATAATTATTAATGTTATGATTATTAGAAGAAATATATTTAAAATTTAAATTTCATTCAAATATATTTTGGTAACGTCTGCCACGAAGATTCTATAATTATTATCTAGTATTCAGATTGAAGTTTTGTAATATTTGGTATTGAAAATTAGGAAAAATGAATTTGTCTTAAGTATTAACTTCAATTTTTATTGATCATTATATTAGCCAAAGCGTTACGCCTCTTTCTCCAACATCCCATCGTCTGACAATGGTACTGCAACTGTTTATACCACATTTTGGTTTGTTCAGGATCTTGGCCCTAAAAATATTAAAATTTATAAACTTAGATATATTATATAATAATTATTATACATAAACTATTATTAAGTCAATAGAATAAATTATCATCAACAAAATCATAAATAATATCAACATCTACTATTTATTTAGAAATGCAAATTAAAAAAAAAAAAGTTCAGCGAGATCGCGGCACAATGAGGACGTGGCATATTTGAGTCAATTATAATGATATCTGACAGTGATTAAAATCACTATCATAAAAAACGCTTCGATGCAAATCGTAGATAGTGTTTAATTTTAAAAAATTGGTGCATTATTCCAAAAGCTACATGATCCCCTATTTCCTTATTTATATCCTGATTACAAGTTTTATGATTTATAAGTGTAATATATGAAAAAATATATATATATTTACAATATATAAAGGAAAATGGTGTTATTTTAAAAAATAGTATGTTAAATGAAAGAGGTATTTAAATATTATTTCTCATAAACACAATGTATTGATTCATTTATTTTCCAAAAAGTTATAGCATTATAAAGTTAAAAATGTAAAATATAACATAAAATACCATTGATCATTTAAAGTATTAAATTTTATTGAATAATTAAATTAATTGAAAATGTCAATCTTTCTTTGTCTTATTTTAAATTTAGATTAAAATATATATAAAATTTTGAAATTCAGCCATTTACAAACAAAAAATTAGTGAAGTAATAACCTTTTTATTATTGCTATAATATAATAAAATATAAAATTACAATGTATAATATTACTATTTATTAAAACAATTATATATACATATGTTATAAACGTATATTGAACAAATATATTACAAGAAAAACTCACTTTAAGTATGTACGTATCCTTTGTTGTAATCTCGTGAAGTTCAAAGTAATCTTCTAGATCATTTTCGCAGCATACCACACAACGGTCCAAGTACATGGGTTCCTAAAAAACACAATAACATTAACAGCATATAAGATTTACTTCAGATCGTATTGAATGACTGACGCTTACCCTCAGAAGACTAATTCGGCCACTTTTCTCTTTCAACAATACCAATGAGACGTCTCGGATACCATTTTGTTTAGGGAAACCCACGTCTTCTGAATCGGGATTGTAATTTTCGTTGGGCTAAAAAACAAAAGAAAAACACAATTTTCAACATATGTAACTAATACAATTCGAATAGTCGTCATAAAAATGTTTGGATATTGTAGTACTCACTTTTCCTAAAGTGGCTATGATAGCATTTATCGGTAACAATTTAATGGTTCTACCAGCTTTACGCCAATTGTGATCCGACGGTTGAGTATACAAGAGACGTCCTTCCATTGCAAATCTGATCTCTTCGCCTAAACCGGACCATTCGAGCACATCGACTGCCACCTATATCAATAAATAATATAAAAGATGAAATATTATATTAAAATTCTTAATCAAAAGATACTCACTTTACGAAATTTTATGTCTGCGAAATCTTCACTGTCCGGTCGCTTACCATTGATCGCATAAATCTTTCGCCATAACTTAGTCGAACTTATGTCTTTTGCCAGCTACAATAATATAATGACATAACGTAACAATACTTTTAAACAAAACACAGTTTTTAATGATTACTTAATTTAAACAGCAATACTCACTGAATTAATATGCTCTAAATGTAGCTGAATTTTATGTCGCGCCTCGTTAAGCGTCTGCCGGGCTTCCAAATGATGTTCTGGCGTGACTTTGCACAGACGGGCTAAGAGCAACGGATATTTCGTCACGCGTTGAACGGGCACCTAAAATAATATGATGCTCATAAGCAAATGTGGAACCCATCACCATGATTTTGTAATCATTATCTTACCATTAGGAAACTGTTGAGGTTCATCCGGCGGAGCACGGCGTTTTCCATTTGCGACACCCGCAAGAATATTCGCAACAACTCTTTTTCTTTCTCTAAATTAGCTAATAGTAGAGCCGCGTTACCCTAATAACGTTTTAAAAATGATTTTTCTTTATAAGTATTATTTGTTGTTTTTACCACAAATGCTAATTATATATTGTACATTGTTTATATAACAAAAAACTTGTACTTATACTAGCTTACAAAAATATTTTTGAGTAAAGATAATAAGTCAATAAGTTTCTTAATAATCAATCAATACCGAAATTAGCATATTTTTAGTGTTATAGTATGAAGTAATGAAAATATAACGTGGTATTTATAAGACCGTTTGTTAAACCTACGTCGTAAGACATAACATATATTATGTGGTTGTTATTTTAGAAATGCTAACAGCTCGCTTCCTAAATAGAGCCTATAAAACTTTAATTTATGGTTTCTACTCTGCGCGTATTAGATAATACTCAACTCTATTTTTTTGTTCATTCATTCCAATTTAAATCCTACTATTTTTTTCTTAAATTATTCTTCTCGTCAACACCACGCGTACTAACAGTGTAATATGAAAAACGAAAGTCACTCACTTGTCGGGTGCAGTACGATTGAAACGCATGAAGCATGGAAGACGATGCTTCGAGGAACAGTCGGCCAATGTTGACGGTGAGCAAGTCGTCATCTCCTTGTTCTATGGCTATCTCGTAGGCATCTCGCAGCTTCTGAGATAAGGCAGTGCTATGCTCACGCAATTCGGCAACGTTGAGGAACACAGCGGATAATTGTTCTGCATTGAGTAGTCCAGCTACCATCATAGGCCTATAAAACTCTTCCATAACTATGTCCAAATCTCGACCATACTTCTCTTCCGTTTCTACAATTTCAGCAATGATCTCCCGTCTTTCAGCTCTTCGCTTGTGACATTTACGACAGACCAAAGGTGCGAACATGATTCCTCTACAAGTTTATACTATATTAGAGACCATAAACGCCGACTTTTATACAAATATTTCTATTTTAAAAATTGCGACTAACAACAGAAACGAACGATTACCATTTACCAAATAACATGATAACAAATATTATAAATCCTAGAAGAAAATGCTTAAATGTCAACAAATCAAATATCTTTAAATACATGTTTATGAAATGCTTAGAACGTTGGCGATAACAGAGAAATTATTAAAATATAGTTTTTTCCTTCTTCAGTAGTATTGCACGTCAGTGAAAGTCAATATAATATTATACTAATATCTAATAATATGATTAAACAGGTTTTATTCCATACAATGAAAAGGAAACCAATTACTTAAACTACGCATCTATTAATTTTTGTTCTATTAGCCAATAACGAGAATGTCACGGTCGAGGACCATTTTTAAATTAGTTCAAACAATTATTAGCTATTTATTTTAAATTATAAACCAATATATATATAGGCTGGTCCTTATTTTTCTAAATAAATATTTTAATGACAGTACCCTCTAAATTATAAGAAAGTAATGTAGGCAAAATTTGGAAGGTTTACTCAACTCCTTCTGGAGCCGCGTTAAGGTTAGGAATTTAGGGTACAAAATTTTTCATACATCAATTATTCTCTGAGAAAAATAATAAAACATGATACATTTCAAGAAAAGTTGACATAATATTTTTACTTAAATTTTTTATAAAATTAATATTTTTTATATATCATATTACATAAAAATTTTGTAAAAAGTCAATTATTTAATTATTGACTAAAATTAAGTAAAATAAATTGTATTGTAAGATCAGCATTTGATTTCTAATATGTTTTTTTTAGTTTTTCTCTATCACTTAGTGGATATTTCTGTTTATGTTATCAAATAACATTTTGATAAAAAATGTATATTTATATGAGTTGAAAAGTATCTAAATATTATTTATAAATGTGATAAAATAATCAAACAGTCATTTGTTTTATATAATAAAAAATTTAACACTTATGGCTAATATTATTTAAATATTTTTTGCAAAAGCCTTACCCGTCAGTAGTTTGTATTTCTACAGCCTGATCACAATCCTCACAGCTGTGTTGAGTTTCATGTTGCTGTTGCCACTTACTTCTAGAACTTTGACTTGTCTCTGAACCTACTCCAGAGTCATTACGTTCTATATCGACAGATGATTTTTTTCCAGGGATAGCTCCCGTATCGTGATGTATATGTCCGTATTCTTCACTAGATGAGTCACTACAGTTGGCTCCATTTCCACTATCCGACTCCGCAGCAGCAGTGACAGCTACTGTAGCAGAAACAATATCTTGTTCGTCTTCAAGAGTTGCAAATTTAGTATGTGGTATAGCATCTTGCAATGCATTACACCGTCTTTTAGCATCCACCAGGTAATTGATAATGTCATATTTAGTAGCACCTTCAAAAATAGAACGTGATGGAAGAGCAGCTGCCTCAAAATCACATCTCTCAGGGGGGGGACACGACGGCAAGGGCGGGGGTGTTTCTGGTATCTCCTCATATATAGGATCCGAATCGTTATACTGAAGACTAGCTTCGGTAGAAGAATATGAGACATCTTCTTTTGCTGAGGCATAACATGACTCTGATGAGTCATCCGTGTCTGATACTTCTATATGTTTGTGAATTTCTGACACTCTATATGGGTTTACTAATGGTCTATTACGATGCGTTCTATTAGGTCGTCCACAAATATGTGGTATCACATCCAACCTAGCTGCCTCAACAGGATCATAATTTAAATTAATAAATTCAGACATACCGTTAGACGACATTCCAAGAACGACATTACTCCTATAGTTGTTGGTCGTGGGCGACGATGCAACTTTAGTGGGTCCTATACTTATAGTCACTTTGTTATCAGACGAAGCGGCGTAGGCAGATCCACCCTCGCCAATAATAACTGATGTTTTGAGACGACCTGAAGTTGACGTATTTACTAATATAGAAGTTTTTTGTTCAGCTATTATCGACTGCGAATCATCGTTGGGTGGCGATACTTGTACAATAGTTTTAGTGCTACCACCATTACAATATAGTTCAGTAATTGAAGGATCAACTACAGTGCCTATATTTTCGGTTTTGACTTTTGAAGGTGGGGGTGGTGGTGGATTGGATGGCCTTTCAAACACTGATCTACTATCCGGTCTGTTCTTATGTCGCACGTGAATTCGCATAGTGTCATTAAAAACTGTAACCTCGTCTGGTGCTCCCATTGAGTTCGATCCATTACTGGAAGTCTGTCTATCACTAAGACTTCTCTTAAGCTTACGATCAACAAAAACCCCACCCGTTAGTAAATTCGCGATCTCATTATTTTCATCTTTCATACCATTTTGATAATCGTCTGAAAAATAAAAAGGTCAAATCAAAACTTATGCTTTACCCATTTTTAAAAAATACCAACATTAATAATTATTATTGGTATTTTCAGTTAGCCAAGAGAATAACGTTTAATGTAATAACCTGATTCATTATTTATTTCATAAATGATAAATGATGTAACATAGCTATAAAATTATTAACCTAATGTGAACAAAAACAAAACACACTAAAATACAATTTTATTTTAACAACCTTATTTTTCCTCAATTGTTAAAATTTTAAGCTTATCAATATAAACTAAAATGATATATTACGTATATCAATTTATTAGAGATTAGATTTTTTTTAATTAAAATTTTTCGAAACAAAACTTATTTTGATAATTATATAATAACTTACCTCGTTTCAACATTGTATAAAAGGGTAAATCACAAAAAGTTATTGTTATAATAGACATTGAGTATATTATTAGTCAATAATTTTTTTTTTTTTTGCTTGATTCAGTCCCACTAATTCAATTATTTTCCGATTAAAACAAATATTTCTAACGATTTCTTTTTTTTTTTTTTTTTTTTGACAGAAAATTTAAAGCTGTGTATAAAATTGTGTGTTCTTTGCAAACGCGATGTCAAAAACCAAATGCATCTAGAAGAGTTATACAATGTGTTTTATTTAAATTATTAAATCCATTTCAAAGAAACATTATTTTTATCGAATTTTAGAAAATTCTTAAAATATTAATATTATATGAGGTGTTACATAATTTTTCCCAACTGTTATATCACTTATATCAATATTTTAATCATTAACGATACGTAGTTTAAATAAAATTATCAGACATGTGAAAAAAACAATATATGCTTAGTTTCAATATAAATATTTATTTGTTTAAATATTTTAGTGGACGTTATTAATCGAAGTTCATTTAGTAATTATATTTTTTGTATAATCTTTCATAGATCATTAATAACATAAAAAACAATTTTTATATATAGATTTTTTCTGTATTGTGATCTATGTTCACTAACACCTTCATATAATATCGTCCAACAGCTAAATGAAAATAAATTTTTTTCATTCCACCAAAAAGCAGTTTTATTGTGCATATCAACGATATGTTATATAACTCATACAGACTCCCACAATTTCAGTCAGATTTTAGAAATCTGATATCACGTTTTTTTATAAATATTCAGTGACTACACATGAAATATAATTTATGAAATAAAAATAATTCGCCAAAATGACTAAAAATAATCGACCCAAAACCTAATTATAACGGTTCACTATATTACAGTTGTAATTTACTTAAAAAATCATTTACATAAAGTAAAAGTATATAAAGGTAGTAATCTACTTCCTAAACATAAATACGAGCATTGCATTGTTTTATTATTCTACATGAATCAAATTAATGTTAATTATTACCCTTTTTGATATCTTTCCGTTCTCGATCGTCGGCCTCGTTTGGTATTTCCTCAGCTGGCGAGGCCGCCAATTTGATATCAAATTGTACTTGTTTTTTAGTTTTTTTCTGTGGTATGAAAGAAGAAGAACACAAAGGATCCTCGTCAGTTGTGGACTCAATTAACGACCGTGTCGTTCTCACAGGACTTAAATCGTCCGTAGTAAGTGACACTGGCTTTTTTAATATCGATTTGATTTCTACATATGGTAAAGTACCAGCCGTTAGGGAATGCGACCGTTTGGCTGGGCCAGACACACTCCTTCCGGTCGGTTTACTTCGTCTACGAGGTGGCCTAACTGGTGATTGATCTTGCAATGATTCTGATTTTAGCGTTTTCTGCTTAACTTCAGATGTTGACACATGTGTAAAATGTGTCAATGCGTCTTCAGCTGAACCGTCATCATACCACACAGAAGATGTAGTTGTCGTATTTTTATCACTAGCTGACGATAATTTACCATCAAAAAGTCGCACCTACAAAACAATTATTTTTAGTATACTAATATTAGCATTAATATAGTATATTTAATATTAGCGAAAAATGAATTTAGGAAATTATTACTGTATGTCCGGCTATATTGATACCACCATTAACCCTGGTAGGAGATGTACATGTGACTTTCTTGGCGGCCAGACCTCTTTTATGAAACACACTATCTTGTATTTTATTCATAAACTTGTCTTTTAAAGACAATCGCTTGGGGGACTCATCTTCGTCATCTGGGGTTCGCAAAAGGTCGTACGGGTTAACATTGCACTCGAGTATCGATCGTCGACCACATCCCTCTCCTCCTCCCCCGGAGTCATCATAATCAGGTGAAGGAGTACGTGGTGAACAACTTCTATTGCGCATAAGGTCGCACTTGGCCGTGGCAGCTGACGTGGTCATTCTATTTTTACGGACACGATCATATGGATCTTCAGTGCAGGTCAAAGGTATAGGTCCTCCGATGACTAGAGCTGCTACAGCTTCTGGATCAAACTGTTCACGGCCTAAAAAAGTACTGCGTGATTTTTGGCCTCCATGTCCGACTGTACCGCGATCATAAAGCCATCCATCCGCGTACTTCATCGACTTAGATAAAGCACTGCCTGCTGAAATGCTTGCAAACTTATTATGGGTTCGATGATGAGGTCTATGATGATGATGATGGTGTCCAAACGGTTGTTGTTGGAACATCTCAAGAACTGCCACAGATGCAGCCATCTGAGTATCGGTAGACGTCAGATTACCGGACGTAGAAGATTTCACCGCGAACGGACCTAATGGTACTGTCATAGACTGGTACTCGTTAATAGAAGCCTGACGTAGAGCTGTTTCCAATTCCACAATCCCAGTTGGTTGATTGTCGTTGGTTAAATGTTGTCGCCGAAGTCGATTGTTGTTGTTCATTACCTGACCGCCAAACCGTGACTCTCATTTTACGGTATCAACCTAAAATAAGGTTAAGTATATCGATTAAAATTTATTTTACTAATAAACCATTTATTTATTATGAGGTAAGCGCCAAACTTCAGTTGATATTTCAATTGTGGCAAATAAATTTATTTTTAAATGACAACCGAGATACTCATCGCGTTGTATAACTCAATCAAACTTATTGCAAGAGACCTATTGATAACACGTATGTAAAAAAACATTCACATAATCTCCATTTCTAAGTGAAGAAAGCGAAATAAAATGGCTTTGTTCCAATCTGTTATACGATGTTAACGTGTGCACATAATCACAATAATATGTCGATCGAATATTGGCTCACAATAGATTACATACAGTGCGATCAAACAGCGCTGTTTTTTTATTATTGTTAATCCATTAAAATCACAAATCAAACAATAACTACCAATATAAAAGAAAATTTAAGAGATCCTATTGAATTAGAGATTCCAATTATTATTATTATTTCTGCGATGATCGTTATTTAGTATGACAAGCACACAAATATGAAAGTAGCGTTTCTAAAACATCTAATACATAAACAATACACACTAACAAATATATTTTAAGTTAAAGTCAGATTTCAACTATAATATAGGATTCTGTGTTACAGTTAAGTATATATTGAGTATATTTTTTGTTCCAACTATTTTAGTAGTATTGAATTATGAGAGGTATGCATGCTTAATATTGTACTAGTAACATCTTCTATATTCTGCACTACCTCAATCCAGTACACTTGTAATACTTAATGTACACAAAACTACTTATCATTGTTGTTTTTGATATCCTATAAATTATTCTGTTCGTTTGAGATAAATGTATATAATTTAGTAAATATAATATTAAACATTTTTGCGGTCTCGTATATCACTCGAATTCATATTACATAAAATTACAAAGTATAGCCCGTCTGATCTTTATGATGTATAGTACAACAGTAAATTTCAACTATAGAAAAAGAACTTTAATTGGCCAAGTAATTAATGGTGTGCTCTACGAGCCGTCTGCGTGTATTCAAACAGACTTTGTAAAATGTTCTTTCGATCGCCTCAATTTGATTGACCTAAGTAATGGAATGACTGGCGGCATAAAATGTGAACAAAAACAATTTGCACTTTTTTTTCTAGTCGGTCGTGTGCAATCCTACTATAATACATTGTAACTTGTTACAAGAATTAACATGTATGGGGTCATATCTATTGTACCGGTTTTGTAACGAATAACGGTTCGTCTTGTGGTGAAGTTGTAAGTCCACTATCAACTATCCACCGCCAATATAGTACACTATGTACTAGTTCAGTAAACAATTAAATATTATTTTCATTTTCCAATAAATTATACACAAATGATATTGATGTTCATTATAGAAAATTATAAAAGTAACAAATTTCGTATAAATTCTAAAACGAAGCCAAATATATTTCACGCTTAATACATTTAATACATTTAATGAAGTCTTTTTAAAGTAAAATATATTTTCAATTAACAATCATCGAATAAAATTTAATCTAGATTACTAAAATTTGAAAATTAGATACTCGTTAACAATTTATTAATATGCTTGGTTCAAAAAAAAAAACGTGGTGACAAAAAATATCAAAATTTAAATAGTATCTGACATGACTAGAAATTTAAACATTTACATTGGTCTAATGGAGGTTTTAAAAGTTTTAAACTGTTTACTTGTGTTTTAAACAGGGTTTAAAAAAATACATATTTTTTAACAACCCTTCTAGAAAAGTAGATAAATAAATTACTATATTGCAATGTAATGTCGAATAAAACGATTTTAACTTTTTTAAGTGAATATTTTTTATTTGATAAATAATTAAAAGCTATTAATTTACCTACTTTACTTTTAGATTTTAATTTTATCAATTACATGTAAATTTTACAGATAAAACAGCAAAAGAGAATATTCGAAAAAGTTATGATTTTAATTAAATTGATAATATACATTTAAAAAGGTTATATGGTGACACATATTAATTTGAATATAGTAACTGAAAAATAACGAATTTATTTACAAAGCATTATATATAATGGATAAGGGAGTTGTTACTATTATAACAAATTTTAGTTTTACCTGAATATTCTGATACTTGTTTACAAGTAATAACATTTTATAAATCTTAAATTAATAAAATTTTCTATAATATTGTACTTAAATAACTTTATTTAAATATATTAACTTTGAATATTAATTTAAAAACTAGTCATAATTTTTTGGAATTCACAAAATATAAAAAAAAAATTTCTTGTACAACATGATACTTGGTGATTACACTAGATTTTTTATAAAATTATAATATATTATTGGACATTTTTTTTCGTTTCCTTGAATAGTACTTCTCGATTTTTACGTGGCTAAATATCTGTTCAAGTCTATCCTTTATCGCTTATACGAGTATCAATACAGTTTTTTTTGTAATGAAAACATACATATTTAAATAGTTTTTATAATAGAAAATGACTGTTTGGTATCGACTTTTAAATTAAGTTATAAATATTTTATGGCTTGGTGAGAAGAGTTTCAGAAGTTGTCATCCACTAGTCATTTTCTTTACTAAATTATTTTCTAATACATAAGCTACTATAGTATGTTATGTATAAGGGATACTTACCAGTTAATACTAAATTTACTTAAATGTAATTAGAGTTTTAGTTAAATTAAAAAATAAATAAGAAGAAAAATTCAAAAAACATTTTTTTAATGCCGACTAGAAAACGTACTTTTTTATAATATATTTTATTACGATTTTTAACCTCATTTAAAATCAGGTTACCGACCGATCGAGTTAATTGTTTATGTTATCCTTATGAGACATCTATCTACTATTTGTAATATCATAACAACTACCAAGTGTGGTTGTCTTCACTGTTCTAATTAACGATAAAAACGGAAACAGGATGATGCACACAGCATGACCATTGATATCTCATCGGGAACGAAGATTGTAGACTGATTTATAAACGTTGTACTTGTATTTTGTTCTCAGTACTCAGTTAATGAAAACAAAACGCGTTGATCAACGATAATTCCATTTTGTCACCATTCATTAATCGACATTTCGTTTTACTATATATATATATATATATATTACTCGATTGGTTGTATTCTTGTGGCATATGCGTTTAACGGTAAAAAATCAAAAACAATTAACCACAATTAGCTACATGTAGTCATACAGTCGGTGAAGGCAACGAATCTAAAATTTAAATACCTTTTAGTCTGTAATTAAGTATTATTACACATTTTATATATTCAATACACAATTTTTGGCACAAAAACTGTACACAAAATCTGTGAAAACAGATGCCGTGAGAAATTAAAGCTGGGAATATTTAGCGGAGCAAGACTCCCATCTCAAAAAAATTATAATATTTAAACTGCTACAATATACAAACGTATAATTATTATTATATGCGATTAACACTTTTTTTATGGGTTTCATAGATGTCTTATACTGTTAGTTTCTTGGAATTAAATGTAAAACGTTTGATAATTGCTGCTACAAAATTCAGAAAATAATAAAACTAAGTAAAACCTTACCAAAAGAATACTTTAATGATTTAATAATACTAGGAAAATATTTTTATTAAAAGCGTAATAGACGCACAACTACTTATTATTTTAGTTTTATTATGAAATTAATAATAGCAGTACATGGGTTAGCGTTTAATAGAAGAGGTTGGCTAATACGAAACTAATCGAAATGAACCGAGATAATTGAACCCCACGAACAGTACCTTCAAATAAAAAATTATTTTGAACATTTTTATTTTGAAATTTTTGTTATTAGATTTTATCATTGAAATCTTGCACTGGATAAGAGAGGCAGGTAAACTCTCATAGATGCATTCTAATAAAAACATTAAAAATATGTAACACTTATACATCTAATTAACACATAAATAGTAATAATTAAAAATGTTCACATGGTCAAGTAGTATAGAATTTATTTTTTGCAACTATCATAAATGGAATTTCTCTCAATAAAAAAAATACGATTTGTTTTAAATATGTCTATGTACACAATAAGAAAATTAATCGTTTCCTATTCTCTTCTTCGTCATATTCCCACGAAGAATATTATTATTCGACGACTCTTTTAACTTAATATAAAAACTATTTTCTTCCACTTAGTATTTCAACTGTTAGACATGTATAGAAAATATATCAACATGTTTGTTAATATCCGATGTCTCGGAGTATAGTATCATATTTTTTTTTTTTTATATTTTACAACCTAATCGTGCGAATAAATATTCATTCGTGTACTTAAAAACTTAAATGCCTCTTGAAAAATGAATAGGTACTTCCCACGAATCACTAGCGGAAATAAAATTGTTCGCACATGGCACATTTGAAAATCCCATACACGTCCATCTAATGAATATTACAAACTATGAGATATCTTTATACCTGAACGCGTGTAAGAAAAAACCGTTAGACCCTCAAAAATCGCCTCACGACTTGATGATGGTCAATCAGTCCACTGTAGTTGGTTACCGTTTTAAATTTCCTCTTAGATAAATTTGCACTTAAATTATAGTTCATTGCAATCAAACAACCTTTCCTTCCATTCAACCGAACTGATAACTACCAGGTTATTTGCAGCGTGTCGTCGCCTAACGATTGTCCGACAGCTTATTCGTCTAAAATAATTATCTAGAACTGGTAAACTAAAAAAGCAAATATTTTTGCACCATTGACGATTTTTAACCGTCAACACAGAAATCGTCATAGCCATAGGCGTGTACACATGTCCAACTAAAGTGCAGCGACCGATAGGTATATTTTCCCTTTTAGACGACCGCTCAAAATGCATTGTAATATTTAAACGGTCATTACTGTATGATAAAATATTGTTCGTGGCAAAATTCGTGACCAAATAATAATCCGCTAAACGAAAGCCGTCCACGCTCAAAGAATATAAAGTATACTAATTGTCGTGAGAGTTAGAAATTGATTTAGAAGGGGACAAAGCACA